GTTATCAACACGTCGTTCCAATGAGAGAGAGATATTAGAATAGTTACATTTTACCCTATTTTGGATGTATCTGTTATGGTTATTTTTTTCTTTTTGTTTCCAATGAGAGAGAGAGAGATTAGAATAGTTACATTTTACCCTATTGGATGTATCTGTTATGTTTTTTTTTTTTTGTATGATCTTACTTCCTATGCATGTTGTTGCAGCATCAGCATTATAAACTATATTGTTATTCTTTCCAACAATTCTCTTTAATTAAAGTAATGTAGTAACATATCTTAAAATTCTGACGGTGGATTTGTCCTCATGACATATAATATGACCAATACCTAAACAGAGAATAGGGACTTTGTCTCTATGTTTATGGCTACCTAACTTACAAAAATGTAGGTCAAATTTCAATATAAAGATGACAACATATGCTCAACTAATAAGATGTAGACATTAGTGATGGACACCTTTTTTTTTCCCCCGGAAATTAATTAGTGACGACCTTTTGCAGCACACTAAACTCCAGTAAGTCTGATTTATCGAGGATTATTACCGTTTATGTATCGGATTAGAATAGAGATTAAAATTTGAGTCAAAATTTCGCGAGACAAAAAAGAAAATGGGTTAATATTTTTTTTGCACCACGATTCGGGTCATAAGTGGATCCTAATGTGACTCTAACCAAAAGAAATTTCGGGAGACAACTTAACACTTGCATAATTAATTGTCCTTGGTTTCAATTTCTCATTGTCACATTTCTTTAAGTAGATTTTTTTTAAAAAGGAAATGACTTAATGGTACTTTAGCGTACTTAAATTTCATCCTTGTACCCCGTACCAAATTGTTGTCCTCATCTGTAATTTGCAAACAGATATTAAAAAGAAAAAAAGAAAAAAAAAAAGAAAGACATTTTCATGGTCCACGAAGTAACAACATGGTTTAGTGAATTTAATTTATGCTTAAGAAAATGGAAGCAGCCGCACCATGACATCAATGTCGGGTTTGGTTTAAAGAAAAAAAGATGAGTGACTGTTGAATCCATCGCTACATCACCACAACCTTAGATATTTTATAAATTATATATTAATGAAATCATTTATTAAACATATCATTTTGTATACCAAATGGTGGCGTTGCAAATAAGAAATGACGATGATCTCATGGGCCGGTGTTTGGGCCCACCATCGACAATGCACTTCCACGGTCAATTACATATTTTAAGGGGATCAACATCAATGATTAATGAAGAAGAGGCTTTTGCCATTATGTGTTTGGATAGTCTATTATTATTCCCAGAGTTATATACACTATTATTTAAAAGATGTGATTAACAATTGCTGTACCGATGATAGAGATTTCCAACAATGGACTACTGTGATAACATTCCTTATTTAAATATTACTCCACTAACAAACCTCGATCCTATCTTTGGACATACCATTCATTTAAATTTGTCATTCCATTTCAAACTCCATCTGCTTGTGAAATTAGTGAAACACTCCATGCATGAATGTGAAGTATTCTTGATCACCCGAAACATAGAAACTTGGGTAATACTAAACGATGTAGTTTAAATGTACTTTTACACTTTTTAAAATACAGCGTTCATAGTTCAAGTTTTGATAGGGGCAAGTGGATGTGTGGATAGGTCTATTTCTTGCCAAGGTTAAAAAGAAAGTCATGAAAAATATCTTGTTTGCTCAGTATGAATGGAAGCTTGAACTTTCCAACTCTCCTTAGATTTGTCTAAACTAAATATCTGGTGGTCTCAACAGATATGCACCATGCATATTTTGTTGGCTTTTGCTCTGATGCCACTTTTTTACTTTACTCTGATACCATTTTGTTGAAAATAAGTGGGCTTGACAAACAAATATAGTTTACTATAATTTGAAAGAAAAATAAAGGAAGAAGTATATTATTTTAATTGATCCCAACTTATTCAACTTTTCTCTCCACAAAAAATAGGTACAGTACATGAGTTTATATAGGCTCTAAGACATATGTAACCAATTATATTTCAATGCCCAATTACTCCCACTAATCTCACTAACATAGTATTTAGTAGACTTAACTCTCATGTCTTCCACTAACACAAATACAAACTCCCACCAACATAATATTTAGGAGACTTAATTCACATACCTCTTAATCTTACATAACCTTCTCTATCAACACCATTTACTACCCCACTAACATGAAATGCACACGTGCATCATGTATACCAAATACTTGAAAATACTAATTAAAACTAAAATTCTAAAATCAAGTTTATTTTTAGCACCCCCCTTTTAACTTGATTTTGTAATTTGAAAGTAAGCTTCTTATTGATCTTGGGGGCTCGGTCAAAAGTTTGTTTCTTTGTCTTGAGTTTCACCTCCTTCATCTGCAACAATCTTCTTGGTTATTTCCATTGATGTATATGGCTTGTGAAAAATCTTCAAATGCTTGTTTGATGTCTTCACATAATCATATATCATCATCTTTATACAAATGCACCATCGATCTTTTTTCTTCTTGAATTTTTTATGACTCTTCAACTTCACATATACTTTTTCTTTAGAGTCAAAAAATAACTCCATATTCACTCAACCTGTATCAATTACAAAATTCTCCAAACTATTTTTTAAAAAATAATTTGAGAATTTCTTATCATCTTAGGCTTCAATCTCATACTTCTTTGGAACAACTTTCTTTAAGAGAAGTTTTTCATTCTCCACAACATGAACATAATTTTCATAATATTTGATTTCTTTTTCCAATTGAGATGAATATGAATAAATCATAATTTTATCAAATAATTCAAATATAACTTCGTTCAAGGTGGAATTTGTAACTATACCTGAAGATGTTAATGCACCAAATTCATCAACTTGTGCATCTTCTTTAATACTTTCTTCTCCTTTGTCTTCTCTTTTAACTTCATTATCCTCTACTTTTTTAATCCCTTCTTCAACACATTTCTTTACCTCTTCCTCATTCACCATTTTAAGTTGTTCTTCAAATTCTTCAACTTGATTTGTGTTGTACGCCTCTTCATTCTCCATATCTTTATCCTCAAGACTTTCATAATCAGCCTTTGTAAACTCATCATCCTCAAAGCATTGTACCAAATACTTCATTGATAGTGATTCACTTCTATGATTGGAAACGATGGTCTCGAGCATCTTCCAAACACAACTTGGAGTTTTAGACTCTCCAACATACTCCCAAATTTCTTGATGTATTACTTTCTGCAACATTACCAATGCCTTTTCTTCTTTCTTTTCTCGAAGCTTGTTGGACATGCCATTCTTTGGCTTTAATCCAACAACATCTCACAAATCACATGCTTTGAAGTATGAAGTCATGATGTTCTCATTCTCCTGTGATTAGAGAACATCATCTTCTCACTAAGAAAATACATTTTCTCCCCTTCATCATCATCAAGGAGAAACATTTTTTCTCAAATGTTGAACCTTCTAGGATCAACTTCGTCAGGCCTTCAGGATCGTCTAGGTTCTGAACATGAAATCTGGCTCTGATACCACTTTGTTGACTTTTGCTCTGATACTACTTTCTTACTTTACTCTGATACCACTTTGTTGAAAATAAGTGGACTAAACAAACAAATACAATTCACTATAATTTGGAAGAAAAATGGAAGAAGAAGTATATTATTTCAATTAATCCCAACTTATTCAACTTTTCTCTCCATATAAAATAGATATAGTACATGAGTTTATATAGACTCTAAGACATATGTAACCAATTATATTTCAATGTCCAATTACTCCCACTAATCCCACTAACATAGGATTTAGTAAACTTAATTCTCATGTCTTCCACTAACACAAATACAAACTCCCACCAACATAGTATTTAAGAGACTTAATTCACATACCTCTTAGTTTTGCATAACCTTCTCCATCAACACCATTTATTACCCCACTAACATGAAATACACACATGCATCATGTATACCAAATACTTGAAAATACTAATTAAAACTAAAATTCTAAAATCAAGTTTATTTTCAACATATTTAACTTGTCGAAAACGTAATTATCAGAAGATTGCAAATGCGTCGAGTTTTTGTCCGAGAATTTTTTTTTTATCAATCTCTAACTGGAACTCAATTCTAGCCAAGATATTAGTGTTCGAACTTGGCTCAAATATTTTTCATGGAGCTCGATATGTTTGCCTCAGCGTGCTGATTTTGAGCTTGATCTCGTGCTCATTTTCAAACATGAGCTTGAAGATTAATAAGGGACTGATTAAAATTCTAAACAATACCTAACATATAAGTAACGCATCCGAACCCTAATGAATCTGTTTAATGAACTCATTTATGAATGTGTTTGCACGTCTAATGAGTAATTATTAGTCGTTAAAGCACAACTTGCTTATCAAAAGAGCTTAAAAATTAAACTCAAACTTGACTTGTTAGCTTATTAAATGTACTCGAGACAGAGTTTATCAAATTATTATTATTATTATTATTTTTTTGTGTGTGATAAGCAAGATAAATGTATCCTTCATTCCGCATCCTCCCATATAACTGCACAATGCTCTTGGAGTTCGAGTCTCCCCAAGAGCGTTGTGGGAGTTGTTTGCAAAAAAAAAATAAAAATAAAATAGTTTACTATTATATAACATCTATGTATTTTCATGTTGAATGCTCCTATTTTACTATTAAAAAAAAATACCCCTTTTATCATAGAAATGAAGGTAGTGTTAATGTGTCTTTGATTTGAAAAATACCTCCACTTATAATCATATAACATAGCTCAAAGATTTTCTCGATAGCAAAATTCTGCTTTCACGGATGTAGATAGTGGGATAATATATTTTTTATGGAATCATATAATTAGCAGTTAAGTGTAATATTTAGGTAGCAAAATCACTCTAATATATAAGTAAACTCAAACAAAATGAAAAAGCATTTCAGACTTCAGAGGTGAAACATGAAGCATCAGATAAAGCATGCAAATGTTGGAAATTGATCTAATCATATAACTTCAGCCAGCTAAAAGATACAAACAACATTACATTGATAATAATGACCATAACATATCACAAAATGTACACAACAACTACTACATCCATCCTTACAGCATAAAAAACAGAGCCAGCGATGGATGGACCAATGGAGAAGAAGATCACAAAACTGTCTCCCTCTGTGCTGGTCGTATACTAAATCAACTACATCTCCATAACAGCACTAAATAACATATTTATTATGCTAAATAATGACACTACCTAGGAACATACTAGTACTACTGCAAGAGAGAACAAAAGGGGGACAACCCCTAATGCATGTTGTGAACTGATAATGCCACAAGGCTTAAGAAATATGCAGCCTTTGTGTAGAATATGGTGGTGGTGGAGGGAAACTGTGTTGATCTATTTGTGAATAAGAATCAAGGGCTGATAGTGGTTGTGAAGAAAGAAGTAACAATGCTCCAAAGAAAATCACAGGTTGTTTTGTCAAAAATCAGCAACCAGTGAGAAGAAAATGAGAAAGGAAAGATAAGCATTGAGGATCAGAAGAAGAATTGAAATGAAATGAAGCAAAAATCACAGGCTGTCTTTTCTGAAAATTTTGCAACCAGTGGAAAAATCTGAGGACATTGTCTAAAAACTGTTCTCCAAGATATGTGTGTGTGTGTGAGAGAGAGAGAGAGAGGGGGAGTACTACCCTTTGCCATCTGCAAAGCTGAAGCTAAGGTAGCTTCTTGTGGGTGACTATTCATTCATTCCTGGTCCTTCCAGAAGAAGGGCTTCATGGTAGATGAAGACGACGAGGACGGAGCTGAACCAAAATTGGCTTGCTTGTTCTGAGGATCAGAGTCATGAAATTCCTGGTGATGGGCATTGGCAAAAGGAAGGTTTGAAGGCAACAGAAGATTATTGGTTGCATCCAAATCATCCCAAACTGGGCTACCTGGACCCCAACCTGCTGGAATTGTATTGAACCAAGCCTCTGCCATTTCACCCCAAGCCAATTCTGTCGACTCCAAACTACCTTCCCCTGCACCAGAACCCCCTTCAACCATCTCAACTCCATCACTTGCAGTGATTTCACTCGATCCCAATCCGGTATCATCACCGTGACTATCTCCTCGAGTAGGTGGCAGTGATTCTGTATTGGAGGCCTGAGAATTAAGGCCTTCAGGAGCTTGCCGAGGCTGCTTCGAGTTCCGGCTTGGCATTGAACTTTCGTGGGGAGTAGGAGGAGAAGAAGAGGATGAACTAGGTTCTGTTGATACTGCTGATGCTGATGCTGATGCTGCAGCTGTGTCTTTGTCTTTATTGAGGAAGAGTTCGGGGAAATTGAGCCTAGCATTCTCACCTCTCAACTTAAAGGCCTCGCGATCATACGCCATGGCTGCGTCCTCGGCAGTGTCAAAAGTGCCGAGCCAGAGGCGAGTCCTGTTTCGAGGGAGACGAATCTCGGCTACCCATTTACCCCAATGCCTCTGCCTCACTCCTCTGTAGAGCTTGGTGGGGGTAACAGGCATGACTGGAGGCCTAAACCAGGACCTACTGTCCTGTCCCAACCTGTTCATCATCATCATCCTTCCTCTTGGACTTAGATTCAATGCATCACTCCAGTACTGCAATAGCTGCTGCTGTGATGAAGCAGAGTCCCGTGCAACATATGGTGGTGGGTACCCGAAATTGGGGGGAGCGAAAGAGATCATCTGCTGCTGATTTTGTGGAGTTATATGGTACATAGGCAGAGGATTGGTTCTGAATTGTTGTAAACTTTCCAAGGTTTGTTGAGACCCATCAAAGGCAAAAGGAAACACATGCCTTGAAGAAGTGGGAAGAGGAAAAGGTGTTGAAGTAGTAGTAGCAGCAGGAGCATAGGGAAGAGAAGAAGGAAAAGAGGGTGTTTGGTCAGCAGAGGAAAGAAATGGGTGTTGGCTTTCTGGACTTCTGATCTTCTTGAGAGGCCTACATGACATGGAAGCTTCATCAAAAACCGGCTTCGATTGTCGGCCAATATGAACGCCCCTGCCTTGCTGTTTCTCCAAATCCATTCGATTCATGGTCTCAGATTCTTCAATACACTTCTTTGATTTTCCCCTGTTCCAATCGTCAGCCATACCTTGCCGCCCGCTCTCTTTCTAAACTCAGCCCCTGATATTGGGGATACAGAATTTGAGATGGATCACCAAAATAACCAACACTAAAATTCAAATTTGACAAAAACCCTAAGTGAGAAAATTTCATAAACCAGATTGAAATTTGGCCGGAGAATAAAAAACAAGACCGATTTTTTCAGAATCTGGGTTTGATTTTAATAGCAATTTTGATCGAACCAAGACAGATGAGAATATAAAAAAGTTTTGAACTTGAAGTAACCCATCCCAAATCTCTTCAAAGAGAGCGAGCGGCTTTGACGAGGAGCATAAGAGGGAGCACCAAATGGGTAATTCGTGTTGTTTTGTGGTTTTTGAGAGAATCTGAAAATGGAGAAAACAGAAAGCAGAAGAATAGCAATTGCAGGCGATTTGTTAGAGAGAGAGAGAGAGAGAGTTGAGTAAGAGATACAGGCAGGGAGGTGGGTTTATAAGAGGCCAGAAAAAGATTTAGAGGGAGAGAGAGAGAGAGCTTTTGTTCTAGAGAGAGAAAGTATAGAATAATAGGGATTGGTCAATGCCACTCTGCTATGGCCCCACACGGCTTCTTTCCATTTCCCTTGCTTCCACTCCAACCCTCTCACTCACTCCGACCAACCTTTTATCTCTCTAAAAATCTTACACCAACAAAGTTGTGATACAGGAAGCACTTGATAAGACGTGATACTAGCTTACAGGGAAAAGAAGATCTTTATAGAAGAAAAGTTCCAAAACTATACAGTTAAAATCAAAGCTCTAGATCTTTCCATTTCGTTGCTTCTAAGCTTCAAATCATCTAATTATATTGTATTTATTTATTGTAGTATTGAAAATATTTAAAAATTTCCCATATATCCATACGAAAATAAATAAAAAAACACTTGTTACATTTGAGAGTATAGATACTAGAAATTGAAATTAAGAAAATTTTAATTAAAAGTTTTAATTAATTATTTAATTTTAATTCTAAGACATCGATTTGATGAATCTAAGTTAAGTTTGAATGGAACGTAGTTAAATATACTTATACATAAATTTCCAAAGCATGGGTTAGAATTTGATCATATATTTCTTGGTGCATCTAATATACTTGATGGACAAACACAAGATATGTATTCAATTTTTATGTCTCCTCCTAAGTAATGCCCATAGAAGAACTTTGTCTCGCATTCTCTTCATATTTCATCATTGAATCGACACATAATTTTTTTTTTTTTTTTTTGGCAAATTGTAAGAAAAATTTCCCCGACTATTAGTAGGTTGAAAAACTTTTTTTATAAATATTTTTGGCCAAAAAATATTCCCCTCAACTATTCTAAGAGGTGTTTTTAAATGATCTCGTTTAAATGATTGTCTGACAAAAAAATTTAGACAAAATTAACTCCTAACTAATTATTCAAACAAATTATTTTTTTCGCTCTCTCCCTCTTCTCATTTCATCAAACAAGCTTTTTCATTCCTTTAAATACAAAGCTACTGGTGCATATTCTCATAGATAAAAAATAATAATCGAAAACATGAACGCGGCATAGATCATGCCTAAAGATAATCCAAAAAAAAATAAAATAATAATTAATCCTGGCAAGAGACTACAATTTCTACTGTAACATAGAAAAATCGACCAGACATGGATTCTAAAAAATTCAATATAACAACTATAATCTAACAAACCACAAAGCTGCAATTTTATCTTTTGATTGTATTGAATTTATAACCGTCTATATTGGGTCCATTTTAATCACTTTCTGTTGCTTTTGTCTGTTGACATCAAATTGCTACCAGGGGTTACTTATTTCGTATCAGATTCGAATGAAAAGTGAAATAGGTATAAATGAATGGGTATGTAGTATTATTTAAAAATTTTCGTTCTTGATTTGATGTCACGTCAAGCGTCCCGTCTGAAGGCATTCGGGTGAGCTCATCCCGTTAGCCATGATGGCCCAATCGTAACGAGGGCGTTGTGAGTTCGAATGAGAAAGAATGTTATAAGGAATACTTGTCCCAAATCAGATCTGGATGTGAAGTAAAATGGATATAAATGGGTGAGTATAAGTATGTAGCACTTTTTAATATTAAATAAATAGGCAAGCGTCTACTTGTTACAGTAGGTCTTAACTTAACTCAATCTTACTTTAAGTACGCAATTTAGGCACCAAGATGGAGAATTATTTCTTGCACCCATCTCGGCCACTGCTACATTTGCTACCCAAGGCACAAAGTTCCAAGTTTGAAATCAAATTTTTAATAATTGGGATTTTCGATTTGATCTGTTAGCTTTGTGAATGAGAAAAAAATAATCAATTATTTAAAAAATGATATGTTAAGGGATAATTTTGTCTAAAAATTTTTCTTAGACAATCACTTAAAGATATTAGTTAAAAACACCCTTTAGAATAGTTAAAGGGATTTTTTTGGTCAAAAATATTAATAAGGGGATTTTTTCGCAACTAGCTAATTGTAAAAGAGTAGTTTGTCTCACGTCAGATCTAGGAAAGTAATTGGATATAAATAAGTGTGATGTAGTATTATCTAACAGTTTGAGTTTTTAGATAAATGAACAAACGTACACCTATTATACTAATAGTCTAAAAAAAAAAATTTCAATTCGCCTTTAATTTTTTCTAAATGTGTAAAAAATCAATATATCATTCAATACTCTCTTCACCCTTATTGCTTCCTTATTTTCCAACTATGTATTACCATTAATTATTCATCAGGAAAAAAAAAAATCACCATTAATTATAGCAATTAATAACAACATATAACCTATTCTGCCGGCTTAAGAAACAAGTATCGCTCAACCTTAATAAGGCTATTAAAGTGTTTGTCTATATGAAAGAAAATTACTACATATGTTAGTCTTCCTTTTGATTGAAAGGACTATTAAGTTCTATAAAATTTTATTAGACAATAAAATCTTAATTTTAATAAATATATTCAATTAAGTTCATAAATCTAACAATAATTTTAATTTTTTAATTTTTTTTTTACCATTTTTTTTTTTATTGAAATAGCTACAATGCCTTTCATCTGAAAAAAATATTTAAAATAAAATTAGTACCATTTTGATACATGTTCTTATAATCTCAAATTTATATAAATTCACTGTTACTTTTAGAAAATAATTTGTGTGTCATGAATTTACTTCCTGAAATGAGAACCGCAAACTTTTCATGCATGTTACAATAAATTCCACTACATATAGTGAAATTTTATAATATGCTAAATATTATAGAAAAATTGCTAATTAGGTGGGCATATGTGTTTTTTCATTGTTTTTGTAGATTTGTGTACTATCAAAAATTTAAATGTAAAGTATATAATTAATATTTTAATAATATAAGAACATTTAAAGGTATTCAAAGAACGGGCAATATTAGAAAAAAGTTTATTATTGATAGAAATTTGAACTTTTATAATCCTAATAAATTTTTGTAGGACTTTTTTTTGGCAATTGTAATTAAAAATATATATATATCAATTTTGCCTAATATTTTGAGTTTGAGAGACCATTTGAGCATCTTCAATGCCCTCTCAAACTCAAAATATAGCAAGTGGATAAAAATAAGGCACTTCAATGATCTTTCAAAAGATCTCTTATATTGTAAGATTTTTCAAAAGTTGTTAAAATGAAAATAAGACACTCCAATGTGCTCTCAAAATATAAAATGGTTGTTATGTTAAAAAATAGTATTTTAGATGAAATATACTATTGGAGCAGAATTGTAAAAATATAGAATTTTAACATAGTAACTCCTCTCAAAATATAAATTTGGTATGAAAATATAACATTTTGTATTGAAAATGTTCTGAAGATTTAATTTATATAGAGTCAAACTTGGTAAGAATGCTTAGTCATAACATTGGTAATTAGAAATTACCATGTCTGGAGTTGGATCACCCCAAGAGCAAACCAAATTGAGATAACCAAGTAAATGAAAAACTTGTTCGTATGACAATTACTGCCATGTTCTAATCGCATATATGTTGCATCTTGTCACTCTTGTGTTAAAGCAAAGAGTATTATTTAAAAAAAAAAAAAAAAAAATTCCAAATGCAAGAGTATTATTTAAAAAAAAAAATCCAAAAGTACACTTTACAACACAATTGTGAGAAAAATGTTGACCATGCATTGAAATTAAAAAAAACCTTTTAGTCTTTAAATCTCAGGATTGGATTTCTAGAAAGAATATATATAGTGCCTGCTGTTTCATCTCTAGCTTAGTCCACGTACCTAAGAGAATATGTTACACCCTCACAATAAAACATATGTCAATCACTTCACCTGGCATCTTCCACATGTTATAAGTTCAAACTGAGGCATTTATTATGGGTATATCGCATCTGAACCATGAAAACAAATTATTTAGAAACTTTAAAAAAATTAATACTCAAAAATGAGAAAAATAAAATATAAGAATTACAAAATGAGAAAAAAAAATTGGATTAGAAGATCAATTTACATGCAACAGTGTTGCATTTTATTGTGAAGAATAAAAAGTGTGGACAATTATTATTGATGATAGGCATGATTGATTATATTATAGTCCAAATAAAACTACCCAACCCCTCACTTTCGGTGGACAAATTCAAAAAGTCAGATCCGTTTACAAAGTCAACAACGTAACGGGGTGTCTGTGGAAGTCGGTGGAATCGGCACGTGTCGGTGGTCCACAGGCTTAACCCCTCTTCACGCCTCATGATTTTCAAATATTATTGGTAATACTATTCGGCAACGTGTCGAACAGTCCTGATATCTGGTTGCTTCGTATCCATCTCCAAGACCTCCTCCTCCTCGTGGAAAAAACCATTCAATTGCATGGTGACAATAATGCCATAGTCCTTTTCTTTGACCCCAAAAAAGTCATAAATAAAATCTCTCATCCAAAATGATTGAAGACATGCATTATTATTATTATTATTATTATTATTATTATATGTAGTCTGTAGCACAATCATATGTGTATGGACTGTGTGATACAATTCATGTGGCTTAACTTTTGATTATCAATTTTGATTCATACTAATTTCTGATGCAAAATATCTTTGCCGCTCACTTTTGTTCAAAACTCAACAACCTTTTTCATTGGACATGAGTTACATCACATTAATATGTTCGCTATCTACTAGTGTACAGTTTATGTTTTAAAAAAAGATATATCAAACACCTAATCTTTATTTTTTTATTTTTTAGAGATCAATAGATCAACAATAGTAGGGCATAAATAGGCTGAATATTGTTGGTCCAAAACTTTTGGCTAACAAACATAGTTTTAAAATTATGAACAGTAAATGATATAGGAAAATCAAAGCACACCAAAGATTTACCTCCAATGTATAGAAAGAAAAAATATATATATTCATAATTAGGTGAAGTAGGGGAGCACAGATAATAAGTAAAGATATACCTCCAATGTATAGAAAGAAAAAAATAATAATAAAAATAAATAAACTTGCAACACTTTTTATTAAACTTGTTTTCATGTTTTTGTTTTTAAAAATTTTGTAATAAATTTACGTTACCAAACAAGTTTCTAAATAGTGTTAAAAACACTC